CCAGCTCGCTTTGGAGAGGTGGGAAGACCCCTGTCTCAGCTCCCAATATCACTCTTATGTGTAGGTCACCCTGTGCCTGTTAGGGGTACAGGGTGATCTGTCCTAATATTGGGGTGGGGGGGTTGTTGATTTTTTGATGTTATGTGGCTGCATCCCATTGTTCTATTGTGTGTCTGGCCTGGGAGCAAACTATTATGGGATGTATGTGTTTATGTGTATTAGCTTAGTGGGGGGGTGTCTCCTGCAGCCCGCCCTCCTGATGGGACTGTCTGCTGGTGTGTCTCTTGTTACTAAATGTAGATTGCCCCGCCCTGTGTCATTATGCAGGGAGGGGGGATTGTCCCCTGAGTGTATATATCTTGTATCTGTGTTCAAATAAACTAGTATACCTTCTGGATTACTTCAAGATTGCTGTCGCCTAGTCTTCTATAGTCGGCTGTGGTGTCTGTTGTCGGTGTTCGGACAGGGAAGCGATATTCTAATGGAAGTACTCAAGCGCAGTCTGGGTCGGTTGTGTTACACTCTTAGACCTGTAACAGAGCGATCTTTTGTCCTGAAGGAGGAGACCAAGACCTGGAGGATTGCTGCCCTTCTGGGCAGACTTGCCTTGTATCTGTTGTTCATCAAGATCCCAGCTAGGGTAGCTGGGGGGCCTATTCTGCTGGAAGTTGCTGGAGCTGACTAAGGGACTTTCGTCTGGGGATCTGGCCTGGTATCACTATAGAGGTGTTTGGAAGATATTGGAAGGAGGTGTTTGGAAGATATTGGAAGGAGGTGTTTGGAAGATATTGGAAGGAGGTGTTCACCTATCCAAGGACATTAGGGAGTACAAGCTGGTGTGAGAGATCCCAGAGACTGGGTGCTGTGGCCATCCTTCTTGTGCTTTAGTCAGTGTTGCTCCTGATATAGCTCAGTCCACTATTTGCTTGTGCAAGGACTCTGCTCAGATCTTAAGAGGAAGATTAGTGTCCTCAAGTTGCTGCTGATTACAAGAATATCTGAGAGTTACCATGAACCCATCCAAGTTCAAGTTCAGCAATAAAAGATCAGAAAAGAATTCCCCTATTGAACCAAAGGAGTGACTATGACTGTGTGCCTGGCTGAGGGGCAACCAATGGGAAAAGACCCTTGGGACCTTAAAACTGTGGGCTCCTGAGGGAGTAAGCACTACACAGAGATGCCAACTGTGTTGGATTAGCCAGGACAGTCCTACATCTTCCTTCTGTTGCGATAATGCTGTGTCCTGGGCTGTGTCCAAGGATCACAGCATCACCCTTATTTAAGTTACTAAGCATGTGAAATACAAAAAAAAGGTTTCAGCTGAAGGTGGTGTGTTCACAAGTGGGTGGTTCCTGCATAAATAGGAGTGGGGCCACATCAGAAAGTGGGTGAGGTCTTGGCATGACCGTTCGGAATGTGGTCATGACAAGTGTGGGCAGATCCTGTTGGTGGCAACGTCAGGGACTAGGACTAATTTGTTGGTAAGTATGTAACTCATATACCTGAAGCAGTAAAGCACCACCATTGTTTTATTTTTTCTTTCAGAGCTCCTCAGTGCTTGTTGGTGCACTATGATCAAAAAGTGAACTATGAAAGCACAGCACATAAAAGAATGTAAGAGGGTACAGTATGGTTCAACCTCTGAAGAGGAATGGCCTCAATCCCTGAACCCCCAGGGGCAAGTCTCCAGACAGGGGCAAAGCAACCATTGTGTAGCAATGCAAAGCAGGAGGCCAAGCCTGAGTATATCTTGTGCTCCTATGTACTACACATAATGTTTTTTGGTCAACATCAGTGCAGTGCATTAAAATCATGATTTCTTTGGTTCCTTTCAATTCTTTTCCATGCACTGCACTGATGATGGATAAAATGCCTGAAACAGCTACATGCAGTTTGGAATAAATGGCTCTATAACACAGTTTCTCAACTAGGGTTCCTCCAAAGGTTGCTAGGGGTCTTTGAGCAATTTCTGCCCCTCAGATAAGTTCCCACTGACACCGTTGATCTTTATAGCTCTCTATAAGGGGGTAATTCTTCCCAGTGACTACAAGTGTAAGGAGCATTCTTCTCACTGACCATCGCACTAATGTAGATATAGTGATTTTAGCAGGGGTTCCTTGAGACCGGAAAGTAAATTCAAGGGTTCCTCTGTGTTGAAAAATTTGGCAAAGGCTGGCCTAAAATATTAGGCTACATTTGCACTATACACCAGCAGCTTTAAGTCTGCATTTGGCTGTTTGGGGCATAAAAGAAGAATTTATATGACTCTACCTGTAGGCACGTGCAGGCATTCATCCTTCCTGTGGGTGGCATTATGACGATGCTACAGGGGAAGAAGGATCTGTTAAGGGAAACTGTCCCCTTATGGACCCCATCAGTCCTCTCTGAGGAGTTAGGTATCTGATTTGATGCCAAAGTCTTGGGACAGTTTTGGCGGCCATCTTAATGAGGAAGCCTTTAAATAGGGGAACCCACATCATTTAGGTGTGATTTGAACGAGTGGTAGGTTAGGGTGAGACCCACTGGTTAGGGACAGTGTATAGAGCAAGGAATGGTTCCTGGCTAGAGGGGACAGAGTAAGAGACACTGTCCAGTGGCTAAGAACTTTCCTAGGATGCCTTTCAGTGGACTGGTGCAGCATGGATATACAAATACCAACCACCCCTCCAGCAGAGGCCATCCTTCAGTAGCATCACCTTGAACTCTTCTAGTGCCATATCGTTCTTCAATTGTGATTGTAGAAACTCTGAACCATTACTAAAAAACGACTACAGTGCTAAGGGTCTGTGTTCGTGTGGTCCCTCCCGAGTGAGTACCTTGTTAGAACCTCTGCCTACACGCCCACCATTCTACAATGAGGAATAATGATTTTTGTTTGTGGGATATGTGATAGAATGAGACGTGAATACCTTTTGTTTGAAGTAGGCCTTACTCAGAGGGCTTTTTGATTCCCTTAGCCCCTTGTGAGTATAACCCGTGTGGCTACACTGTCTCATTATACATATACAGTCAGTTTAGTCCAGGATTGTTGGCCGTGTCGCTGGAACTGTCCAAACAGCTGCACATTATCTGTAATCTGAGAAATCAGATCATAGAGGCTCCATACATTGAATGCACCCAGCCTTATCATTCATTCCAGCAGAGGTGGGAGAGACACGGGCAGTACGGAGCTCTGGGTCCTCTGTCACAGCTGAAGCCTTCTTAGTATTACACTCAGCTGGCTAATTCCAGGAGATAAGGAACATGTGTTTGGTGGAGGACTGAGTGTCAGCTCTTGTCAGCAGCATGGTGGATTCAGTTACGGGGAGGAAGAGGAAGCCTCTTCCCTCTGCTCCATATCACTTTCCTTCCTGAGGGTCCCCTTCTAACACAAACCTTTGTACGAACCTGGCACCTCATCCACATCTGCAATAGGAGAGGGACGCTCTTCTTGTTGAGGTACAACTCCAAGGAACAAGCAATATCTATCGGTGGGGAGCCAATGCTATCCAGGAGAAGATGCAATTGTGTTAAAATCAAAAAGCTAATTTAGCGCTTGTACCTCGACCAAAGCAATTTCTTCATGCCCACTATGGGCCTATGTATCCAGCAGCAGTGATGCCATTAGTTAAGATAACAAAGAAATACATTCATTTCTTTGGGGGGGTGACAAACAATACATTCATTTGGCAATAATCTCCTAGATTGTAAACTCCGAGGAGCAGGGCCCTCCTAACCATTTTGTATTGAACTGTATTGTCTCCCTTTATATTGTAAAGCGCTGAGCAAACTGTTGGCGCTATATTATTATTATTATTGTTATTATTATACAGGATTTATTTGGCGCCAACAGTTTGCTCAGCGCTTTACAATATAACAGGAGACAATACAGCAACAATACAGTTCAATACAAGAGGGATAGGAGGGCCCTGCTCCTTGGAGCTTACAATCTAGGATAAATCCTGTATAATAATAATAATAATGTCTTGTAAAAAATATGTTTACTCCTATGTAATCATTACACCAATTTTTTTTTTGTGTTAGTTTTAAAAGAAGTAGTTTTACTTTAAATTAATAATATTCATTTTATCCTATTTATCCTATTCCCATTTAGTCTTGGTTCCCACTACTGCGACTTGTAAGTTGCATGACTTACAGTGCGACTATGCCAGGTGACTTCCTGGGGACTTGAGTACTACTTTGATGTGACTTTGAAGCGACTTTGAAGCTACTGAGGATCCAAGGCGACTTCCATTAAAGTCTATGGGCACAAGTCAGGTAGACATTGCCATGAAGTAGTACAGGAACCTTTTCTAAATTCAGGGCGACTTCAGTAGTGCTAATAAGACAGCTTTCTTTGAATAACATGGGATTTCACATGTCATGCAACTTGGGGTCTCACAAGTTGGATCCCAAGTCGCAGCTTGGTAAATTGAGCCTTAAAAAGACACAAAAATGATGTTTCTGGTGCAATGCATGGCAATGTTATTTGCAAATAAAAAAGGTTTCTATTTTCCTATTTTGCACATTTCCTTTTTTATTGAAACCTAAAGAAAAATAAAAACAAGAATTAAACATTCTTCCCATTGAAATCAATTAAAAAGGCCTGAAAAACGCCCAAAGCACCTGAAAACCGCCTGAAAAGCACCTCAAAAATGCCCCTGAGAATAGTTTTTGGTGCAGTTTTTAAGTCACGTGTCCTTTAAAAAACGCTCAGAAAGCATGGAAAAAGCATAGTAAAAATGCCTATGCGTTTTTGCTGTGTTTATGCAGCGGATCAGTGTGAAAGTAGCCTTGTTTTCTGGCTTCTTTTGCACAGCACAGCGTCCTGTGCACACTCCTAATTCTCCATTGGTGTACCTCACTGCTATTATTTCTGTTAACTTGCTCTGCTCTAGGCATACTACAATTCCCATAGAGTTGAATGTGTCTGTAGGTAGAGATGTGTAGTCCATCTCAAGGATGAGCAGGAAAGGGTGGCTACGTTCACACAAGGGAGCATGGAGAACAAACGTAGCCACCCTAGAACAGGATAGCAGAAAAGAGCTCACATTTGAGAGATAAAAAAAAAAGAAAAAGAGAGATACAAGGTACTGTACATTCTACGTGTAGTATTTCGACATATTGCATTTATTTTATTTTAGAAAAACTGTGAGTTTAGTGTCACTTTAACCTCTTTAGGACCGCATGCCCGCATTGTACTGCGGATGGTCGGCTTCTACAGGCACAGCGATGTACCTGTACGTTGTTGCCTGTTTCCAGGTTCAGAGCAAGCGAGGGCAAGCGTGTCCGCCGACTCCCACTGTGATTGTGGGATTTTGTCAGCAGGTCCCGGCCAATGATATATCTTAGGAAGAAAATAGACAGATAACGGGTTGGTCAGGAAAGAAAGAAAGCGAGAGAGAAAGAAAGAAAGAAAGAAAGAAAGAAAGAAAGAAAGAGAAAATAGACAGATAACGGGTTGGTCAGTATAGAAAGAAAGAAAGAGAGAGAGAGAGAAAGAAAGAAAGAAAGAAGAGAGAGAAAGAAAGAAAGAAGAGAGAGAAAGAAGAGAAAGAAAGAAAGAAGAGAGAGAGAGAAAGAAAGATAAAGAAAGAAAGAAGAGAGAGAGAGAGAAAGAAAGAAAGAAAGAAAAAGAAAGAAAGAAAGAGAAAATAGACAGATAACGGGTTGGTCAGTATAGAAAGAAAGAAAGAGAGAGAGAGAAAGAAAGAAAGACGAGAGAGAGAAAGAAGAGAGAGAGAGAAAGAAAGAAAAAAGAAAGAAAGAAAGAAAGAAAGAAAGAGAGAAAGAAAGAAAGAAAGAAAGAAAGAAAAGAAAGAGAAAATAGACAGATAACGGGTTGGTCAGTATAGAAAGAAAGAAAGAAGAGAGAGAGAAAGAAAGAAAGAAAGAAGAGAGAGAAAGAAAGAAGAGAGAGAAAGAAGAAGAAGAAAGAAAAGAAAGAAAGAAAGAAAGAAAGAAAGAGAAAATAGACAGATAACGGGTTGGTCAGTATAGAAAGAAAGAAAGAAAGAGAGAGAAAGAAAGAAAAGAAAGAAGAGAGAGAGAGAAAGAAAGATAAGAAAGAAAGAAAGAAAGAGAGAGAGAAAGAAAGAAAGAAAGAAAGAAAAAGAAAGAAAGAAAGAGAAAATAGACAGATAACGGGTTGGTCAGTATAGAAAGAAAGAAAGAAGAGAGAGAAAGAAAGAAAGAAAGAAAGAAGAGAGAGAGAGAAAGAAAGATAAAGAAAGAAAGAGAGAGAGAAAGAAAGAAAGAAAGAAAGAAAGGAAGAGAAAATAGACAGATAACGGGTTGGTCAGTATAGAAAGAAGAGAGAGAAAGAAAGAAAGATAGAAAAAGAAAGAAAGGAGAGAGAAAAAAGAACCGGGAGAGATACTCTCTCAGCTCGGAGCCCAAGGGGACAGTCTATCCTGACTGATTCCCCACAGCAGCTGCAGGAAGGGGGGAACCCGACAGCGCTGCAGTGGATGAGTGGCCGCCGCCCAGGGCAGTAGGAGATGGATAGGAGGGGCAGCCAGGCATCACATAGAGGAACCCATCCATGCATTTCTCTCCTGCCGCCGCTGAATGCCTACAGGAGGGAGAGGAGGAGAAGCTGGCATTCAGCGGCGGCAGGATAGAAATGCATGGATCGGTTCCTCTATGTGATGCCCAGCTGCCCCTCCTATCCAGGCGGCTCCACCAAATGCCCGGTGTGCCCTCTGGCCAGTCCAGTCCTGGGTATGTATCTGACACTCATTTGAACAGAAGACACAACTTTGATGAATGTTCAACAATCTCCAAAATTACAGAATGAGCTAAATGTGACTAATGAAGTAGCACAGTAGCTTAATGATCAGCACTCCTGCCTTGCAGCACTGGGGCAATTGGTTTGAATCCCATACAGGACAGTATCTGCATGGAGTTTGCATGCTCATCTTGTGCTTGGGCGGGTTTCCTTCTATACTTTAAAAACCTGCTAGTGGTTTAATTGGTTCCTCTGTACATTGACTTTGGTATGCCTATGTATGCATGTGAGATAGGGACCTTAGACTGTAAGCTCCTTGGACTTAGGGACTGGCGTGAATGTACAATATATGTAAAGTGTTGTTATACTGTATACATACCTGCAATACTACTAGCTATAGGGCAGCAGAGTGGGTAAGTGGTTAGCACTTCTGCCTGGCAGTACTAGGGTCATTGGTTCAAATTCCAACCACAGCACCACCTGCCTAGAGTTTGCATGTTCTCTCTGTGCCTGCGTGAGTTTCCTCCGGGTACTCCAGTTTCCTCCCACTCTCAAAAGACATGCTGGTAGGTTAATTGGCTCCTGTCTAAATTGTCCCTAGTATGTGTATGTATGAATGTGAGTTAGGGACCTTAGATTGTACACCCCTTGAGGGTTGGGGACTGATGTGAATGTACAATATATATGTAAAGTGCTGCGTAAATTGATGGCGCTATATAAGTACCTGAAATAAATAAATAGTATGATCTGAATACATGACAATCTTCACAGGCACATGATGAAGAGCTGATGAAGAGGTTCTGCAGCAGCTGCAGTCTTTGTTGCAGCAGACCACTGACCTCTCCTATGACCACCGACCAGGCCTTTATTTCCTAGCAGTGTATAAGGATCAGGCGGCAGGTCCCCTCCGTCTCGGTGTAGTACCATTCGGTTATTATGCCAGAATGGACTCATCTGCCGCTCGGGAGACAAATGAGAGACTCTCATTAGGCACAGGCAGGGACGCCGGCCATTCATCGCCTGTTCCTACTGCTCTTTACATAACATGATTTGTTGTTGTAATAAGAGGTGAGGTGACCATTCCGCTCCATCAGACTCCCCCACCGACAATAAACTTTATGTGACCTCCATACATCATACATGGAAAACTTAGAAGGTGCCTGGGGAGCGTTCAGCTGCAACATTAAAGGGAAACTCTAGTCAAAGATGACCAATTTCATTCCTCTAAGCACTGTTCTCAGAAACGTACTAAGTACGTCAGGCTCTGGCTTTTCATTATTGGTCTGTTATACACCCAAAAAAAAAAAAGAAACAGTCACACACTGACCTTTAAAAAAAAACAACAAATCGCCAAAATATCACATAAACTTTAATGTCCAATTAACATCTACTGTATGCTTTAATATAATGAGCACAATAACGCACGTATTATTGCAGTGCATGTTACATGCATTGATGCACTGAAGTGCCATTCATTTTGAATAGCACCCTAACACACTTAAAGTATAACTAAAGGCAAAAGTTTCTTTTTTAGTTTTGTATAGAAAGGAGGAGGGATTAAAATATATGTCATGTTTTATTGCTGTCTGTGCCCCCCCCCCCCGTTAAGGAGATTCATTCTCTCTATCTGTCCTGTTTACCATTATCAGTGAAAGTGACAGTAAAAGAAACCTTAAATTTTAGGTTGTCCCCAGAAAAGTAATAGAGGGGAAATCTTTCAATGGGGTTCTGGTGACCTGGGGGTCCCCAAGGAACTCCCTTAATTTGCAGGGATTTCCTTCCGCTGCCTGTTTGGCTATGGGACAAGTAGTGAAGGGAAATCTCCCCAATGGGATACAGATGGGGAAAAAAAAATCTGACGGGTTATAACCCTCCAAAACAAAAAAAAAAAGGTTTTGCCTATAGTTCTGCTTTAAGCAGGGGTTGTCAACTTGCAAGGTAAAAGGGACCTCAAATGTGGCCCTTAATGTCCCCAAAGGGGACACCAACCCAACCCATAGATCTAAGCCGAACATAACCCCCTAACACTAACCCGACATCTTAGATGAAAAGTACAATATACTGTACTAATGATAACATCTACATCATATTGTCACAGCCAAAGCTGCTTTCATGGCAATGCTAGCAGCAAAAATACTACTGTGTCTGAAATGGTAGGTTGTAAAAGCTTTGGTGTCCAACAACAAATTATTAGCATTGACAAACCTGCACCAAAATCCATACGCTAAAGTGAAATGATCCGAGACCAGTCACATGATCTAATCCAATGTCACTTGAGAAAAACCACAACCTGTTCTGTTAGCAAAAGAACCCCTACTGCTCGTGCAGATCTCCCGGCTCTAACAGTCATACATTTACATAAGGATTTTAAAGATTGTTAGCTGCGAGGGCAAGCACAATCAGTCTTCCATTATCTACCAATCATTTTAAAGCATCTGCAAATATTCATTCAGACATAACATTAAAACCATAACCCATCGAGGAATGGACTCCTCATGACCTCTGAAGGCATAGGTGTGTACCCCAAAGCTCAAACACACACGTGTGTGTGTGTATGTGTATATATATATATATATATATATATATATATACAGTCAGGTCCATAAATATTGGGACATCGACACAATTCTAACATTTTTGGCTCTATACACCACCACAATGGATTTGAAATGAAACGAGCAAGATGTGCTTTAACTGCAGACTGTCAGCTTTAATTTGAGGGTATTTACATCCAAATCAGGTGAACGGTGTAGGAATTACAACAGTTTGCTCAGTGCTCTCTGAAATGTTCACTCTTCAGAAATCAAAGCATATGTGAATGAACCCCTGCCAGTGTCCATCGGCACAGGTGCTGGAACATTCTGCACGAAGAAAAGCCCTGGCGCACCTGGCACACCCCGTGCGCACAAGGATTCCCCATCGGTACCTATCACAGTCATAGCAGAGGATCCCACCTGTCCATTCCTATCATAGTTCTAGCAGATGAATCTTTCCTGTTGGTCCTTATCACAGGATCCCTGTTGGTCTCTATCCTGGGCCCCTTCTACCCCCCCCCCCCACTCCTGGCTGATGATAGTTCCCGGTAGCAGGTAGGAAGGTCTGAAGATGGCTGTGTGTCCTCCCGATAAGCTTTCCGGATGGCGGGGAAGACAGGCAGCGGTGGCAAAGCCAGTGGGGGGATGCGCGGGGATATGGGAAGATGTTATCTGGTGCTGAAATCATACGCTCAGCCCATCAGTGAGAAGCAGATGTGGGATGTGTGCAGGGGCGGACTGACCATTTGTTAACTCGGGCACTGCCCAAGGGCCCAGGGTCAGTAGGGGGCCCCATGAGATGCCCCTGGTACCTTTTTCATAGGCTTTTTTGAGTTTGGGTAAGGACACAGGGGCCCCATGATCCCCTATTGCCCGGGG